GAGCACTGCCCTCCTGTGAAGCAGTGTGTGTGTGTGTGTGTGTGTGTGTGTGTGTGTGTGTGTGTGTGTGTGTAAGACCAAGTTTCTATATTGCCCAAGTTGAAGGCAAGCTGCTATCCTTGAAATCATTGCAAAATTCAAATCTGGTGATTAAAATGCAACCAACTTGAAACTGTTTCGCTATTGAAAGGATGAGTGTTTGTATAGAGCTCAGCAAGGACTCTGTAGACGTGGCTAATGTGTAGCTCGGTGCTAGAGTGCTTGCCCCATGTGCACACAGCCTTGGTTTACAGCCCCGGCACAGAAAAGACTTTGAAAATTAATTTTAAATGTAGCTTTCTAATTCAGAACCGGTCCTTTCTTCTGCTTTCTCTTTCCCCCACCTGTCAACTTCACTTTGGATCTTTCCCTGTGCCAGCAACATTGTACTTTCACAAATGTGCTGTGCTTTTCTAGATTGGCCTGTGACTGGATAGAACCTGTTCTTACTGCTTTGTGTGCCTTTTCCTTCTTATCCATTAATACTCGGTTCACACCTCATGGTCTATCAGTGGCCATTTACCTACTGTCTTAGGGTTTCTATGGCTGTGATAAAACACCATGACCAAAAGAAAATCGAGGGCAGGGGGTGGCTTTATTTCATTTTACGCTTTCGTATCATGGCCAATCATTAGGAAAGTCAGGATAGAAATTCAAAGACAGGAACCTGGAGATAGGGATTGAATCAAAAGCCATGGAGGAATGCTGCTTAATGGTTTGCTCCCCATGGCTTGCTCAGATTGCTTTCTTAGACAACTCAGGACCAACTGCCCAAGAGGTGGCACTGCTGCCATGGGCTGGGCTCATCCACATCAATCATCAATCAAAAAAAATGTCCCTACAGGCTCACCTACAGGCTGATCTTTTGGAGGCATTTTCTCAATTGTCATTCCTTCCTCTCAGATGATTCCTTGGCTTCTGCCAAACTGACAACAAAATAGCCAGTACATACTAAGGCATTTTCAAGTAGTTATAATTACTCTAGGGGACAGGGGACTGTGCCACAATACATGTGTGGGAAGCCGGAAGACAATTTTGTGGGGTCAATTCTCTCCTTCCACATTTTTTTTGCAGGTTCTAGGGATAGAATTCATGCCACCCTGCTTCTGCAGCAAGTGCCCATCTGCTGAGCCATCTCACTGAGACATCTAATAGACTGCTTGTCTCGTGACTTCTCTTTGGGTTGAATGTGAGTGCAGTTTAACACGTCTTTGCCAGCCTGCCTCATCTTCACCCCATCCTCCCATCAGACCTGTTCCTTGAACCACAGATATATAAAGTCTGGTATTGGAAGCTATGTGCATGAACAATTGTGAGGAAGTGAAATTGAGGACAGAACAGAGTAAAGCAAGTCCTGGGATGTGTAACGTGGTCCTTTAAAGGTATTGTTCCAAGAACACTGGGAAAGCACCAGAGCAGGGGAGTGGGAGATGAGCAGTCTATAGGAGAATGTCAGGGACTGTATAAGCCAGGTGTTAGAAATGAAACAGAAAAATCTGGGTGGTTGATGGTGTTGGTTGTAGCTAAGTTAAGCAAGGACTAGAAATGCGTGAGTTGAAAGAAGCATTTTAAACTAAGCAAACAGATTTGGGGAATCAATGGAAGGGTCTAACCATAATCTGGCAGACATCAAGAAAATATATATGGTTCAGTAAGATGAGGAGATAACAGAATAGGGAGGCAGGTCTGTGGTGGTTATGTAGAGACAGTGCCAGGGTTTCAGTGCCCAAAGACTTGCAGTGAAGACTGTGCTACTCTTCTCATTTAGAGGAACAGATTGCTCCACTGTTTGAAGTTTGCTGTGGCCATTTGGATGTTTTTGGCAAATGATACCCATACACAGGCTTGAAAAGGGCTTTATGGATTTGTCCTCTGTTTTGTTTTTTTTTTTTGGTTTT